GATATCCGACATAAAAGACTCAAAGTCCACGAGTGGATTTGTGTTCACTTTGGCAGGTGCAGCTATATCATGGAAATCTTCTAAACAAATAGTGATAGCCAGATCCACTATGGAATCTGAGTTTATAGCTCCAGATAAAAGTGGTGAAGAGGTTGAGTGGCTACGCAACTTCTTAGAGGATATTCCAAGATGGTCAAAGCCTGTGCCAATAATTTGCATATATTGTGATAGTCAATCGGCAATTGGAAGGGTACAGAGCAACATGTATAATGGTAAATCTAGACATGTATGTCGTAGACATAATACCATTAGGCAACTACTCTCAACTGGAGTTATCACCATTGATTATGTAAAGTCAAAGGATAACATTGCAGATCCGCTAACCAAAGGGTTAAATAGAGAGTTAATTGAGAAATCATCGAGAGGAATGAGACTTAAGCCCTTGAATGGATAAGTTAATACAAAGGAAAATCCAACCTAGTTGACTGGAGATCCCAAGATCTAGGTTCAAAGGGACAACCTAATTGTAAAGACTTAATAGAATCACTGTGGTGGATATTACCTCCTGTCCATTTTTGTGATGCGATAGTGATGCCCGTAAAGATGGAGGATAAGCAATAGGCTTTTAATGATTCTTATGCGTCGAAAATTGAGCCAAATAATGCAAGTTACTTATAATAAGAAATCACTTATGTAAGAGAGAAGTGGGGTCGCTTCTAAAGGAATTGTGTGGGGCGCAATTCTTGTGAACTCTCATAGAACCAGGCGTATGTTCATGACCAAAACGAACAAAATAATGAGAACTAAAATGTGTTAGGAAGAATCCTGTGTGAAGTGTATCATCGTTTACATAAACGGCAAAACTATTCAAGAACATCGCGTCTACTGGTCAGCCAGTGAAGTAAATATGCTTTCACAAGGGAAGATTCAAAGGGTAACACTTACCTATCCTATGCAGGTTTCAACTGTTGAACTATATCACCAAGTCGTCATGTGTCACATGCATGAGTCGCTTCCAATTTTCATTCATGGGCCGACTTTGGCACGAGTTTTGAGTAGGACCCGGTTGTTCAATTTGGAAGATGAAAATTGATTTGTGTTCTCCTCCATGAGTACATCGAAATCATATACTTACTTGCCAAAGATGATGCTCGGGTGAATGAGAAATTGAGGTTCAAAGTGTGCCACTCAAAAGGGAGTTTATGTGGAAAAAATAAATTTGTCCCACATAAGAAAAAGATAAGAAACTCCAAAGGTCATTGCCATTAATGGTAGCCTAGCCTATAAATAGTGGCTCATTTTTCCTCATTTCAATACACTAAAGCAAAAGTTTTCAAATTTAGAATACACAAGAAATTCATTTGCATAGAGTTCTATCTTTTCTGTATTTCTGTCTTGGTGGTGGTGCAGTTCAGGCACTAGTTCAGTTCGCCGGAGTGGTTTCTGCGGTACTCGAAAGCTACTGGTTTTACCGTTGTATCCTGGGAAAACGGACGCTCGTTTTAAACCTCAAGCACGGACGGTGAGGGGGCGAATCTGTTTTAAGAAAACTGTATGTAACACGGGTCTCGGTTTGAAATTTCATTTCTTGCAATTTCAATTATTCGTTCTGTTATTTATTGTAGTAAATTCAATATTTGATTTGTTGTTCATTATGTTATTATCCAATTAGTTGTACGACTGTAATTTGCTGTTATATATCATCTTACCGGACAAAAAACATATACGGTATTGAAATCGAGAATACCTGATTCCTCATTTTTCATAAACCGATCGAACTGGTGAAACTTGAGATTTTCCCTACAAATTCAACATCCACGTAAGCTTATACGCTGCACATTGAAACAAACCGTTAGGGCCTTTGACCAAACTCCACTGGTGGATGAGACATTCATAGACACTTCGACGGTCAAGTGAATAAGAAAGAATATCTTTATGTGCAAGGACAAGCTATATAAGTGGCTCGAAATTGGGTACTTGATGGAGGATAATAGTGAATATTATAGTTTGAAAGTTTAAACTTACATTATTCTAGCAATAATACAAGGTTTGAGCTTTTATAGTAAAAGGTAACAAATATAAGCCATCGGATATATACACGTGGGTCTATCCTCGTTGTGCAGCTTTCTTGTCGGATGTTAGTTAGTCATTTCAAAGTCATGCTGCATTGAGTTTTGTGGTGGTGGTGCAAGCCTATGTTTGCACATGTAAGACTATATTTGATTTGATTTGTTTGATTTGAGTGGAGGCACCTATTTATTGAGTTGTCAAATCATCTACTTGCAAAAAGATCATGTAAAGGTTCTTTATCAGGTGTGCTGATCACTTAAGTGAAGGTGGTTTGATCGTTTCATGGGTTTGAAAATTTGATGGCTCGACACTCATTAGTTCGGACAAATTCTCTTGTCTTTCTATGATATCCAGCCACGTGGTTTAACGAGCTTCTACCACGTGGTTTTTGGTGGGTGGGGGTGGGGGGGCGACGAAGCTTCCTTTACGAGGCGTAACATTATCTTTTTTATGTGAGTGTTTTTAAAATCCTTTTTTCTCATATACAAACTAGAGCATAAAAAAATACTATTGAGAATAAGGTTTACCTGTTACTAATCAATATAAACATTTTGTTTGAAAGTGTTTTTAAATGATTTAAATTATAAATAGATAAAAATGAGTGACATGTAACTCAATAGTACTTGTGGGATAAAAAGTGATTTAAATGATTATAAACTGTTTATTAATATTAGCCAAACATGGGCAAAATCACTTTAATTGGATCACTAACATAACATCCAAATGAAAATGAAAATGAAATTATGAAATTCAACAAACACCTGGAGGGTGAATAAGTGTTTTATGTGAAATTTAAATTTACCAATTAATACAAGCAAGAAGTTATAATTATTAAATAATTCAAATGAATTCACGTGCAATACTATCCTAAGTTGAATAATCACAACCGGTAAATTGCAAAGTAAATAACACTAATAATTGACGACGGATAAAACCCTTGCGGGATCAAAAGCTCTAGGACAAGCCAGTATTGTCCACTATAAATAATAAAAACTTACAAATAGTTTGGACCCAACGAAATCTTAGTACTTGTCGACCACTTACCTACAACACCAAGGAACTCCTTGGACTCCATGTTCCAGCATCAGCTCTAGAGAACTCTGGACTCGTGGTGGATCTCCAAGAATGAACTCATTCTTCTCCAACTGGAACTCCAATCACCTTTCTTGATCTTCAAAATTCTGATAGATATTTGAAAGTGGGTATTATCAAGGTTTTGTAGTTTTTGATGTTTCATTGAATCAAGAGAAGTGATTGAATCTATAGGATGTTTGGAACACGTTCTCTCTTGCATAAGAGTGATCAACCAACCTTTAACTCAGACTAGGGCTTGGATATTTATGGTTTGGAGAGTTTGGGGATTTATAAGATTAGAAAATAGCTTAAAATCACAAACTAGGGCTTTGCTGGTTAAGACCGTCACTCAAGTGTCTAGGTCGCGACAACTCTACCACTCAAAAGCTAGTTGCGACAGCTCTACTGCTCAAGAGCTAGTGATTCTACTCATTTTTGCTCCATGCCACTCGAGCACTGACTAGGCAACAATCTAGCAATGTGACAACTATTTTTTCTCCTTGTTCCATCTTTGATCTCTTGGACTCCTTGTTGACATATTTTTATCCATACAACTTCCTAGACTTTTTCAACTTATCAATTACTTTAGTTTTGTGAAGAATAGCCCATTCATTATAAAACCTAACAGAATTTATTGGTAATCTCGACCTTTTCTAGTTCTACTCGTTGGAACGCTCAACTGCTTTCTGATTTGAATCTTAATGGCACTAGTCTTGGGTTCAACAATAATGATATCTCCCAACATACCAAAACTAAGTGTTACCTCACCAGTAGTAGGAGATGTAAGGACATTTTCTCATCAAAACTTGCCACCATCCCAATTTTATCAAATGAACGGCAATGAAACTTGATCACAAGACCTTACCCCCACACTTCATCTAAAAAGCTTAAATTGATATAATAGAACTCGTATAATTTTTGTCTTCGATACTACTGCCATGATGCATTAGGTTTGGCCAATATTATCACAATAAGTAGCAGCTAAGTACTGTTGAATACCATGTACTCAATAACCTCGAAGGGATCTGAATGTAATGGAAGCACAACAAATCCCTAATCAATTCATACCAAAATACAGTACAAGTAAAATCAGGCAAAACCCAACATCCTAGGAGCTTAAAAACTTCAGCCTCGATCTATATGGATCTTATCCATGACGGAAAGATAAAGGAATTACATTGAATAATAGAGCAGAGGACTAACAGGTAAATTGATAAAATTACATTTGGTTAACGATAAGACATCTTCAGGCATGCCTCATGTGAATATTTTCATCCAAACTCGTCAGCAGAGCATTTTGAGAAGCAGCTTAAAAGTGGGGCTTAACATATAGGGCAGGAGCACGTGTAATCCTGTTTCTTCTATCCCATTGTGAAAATGAGGAATTTGATGGGCATTTCATGTTTCATGAACAAATCCCAGAGAAGAACACCTCCAAATAAAATTTCCAGTTTCTACTTTCTTCCAACATAAGCCGATAATTTGGACAAGTCTGGAATCCAAAACGATAATTCTGAAGAACCAGTTACAAACATTAAGCTTCCTGGAGCCCATTTGATCACAGGCGGTTCAGCTTGTGAACTCATCCAACTGGCAACCTGTCAAACAACGTCAAAGAAAAACAACAATACCAATTGAGAAACATAAAGAGAGGCTTGGTTTTGAAAATTTGATGTCATAAAGTTAAGAAAATATATAAATCCATCAACATACATCAACACATAAATGGTCAGAGACGCTTGAGAAAGTATGGCTCATGTAGACATTTGCACATTATAATAACATCTCCATTTTTTTAATGCAGAGCAGCATAACACTTTTTAAGCTCTATAAATCTACATTATATTAACATGTTGCAACAATCATTCTTTCTTATTACTGGAAGGAAACATACAGGGTTAATTGGCTATGAGGAGGACAACCAGATTATAGAGGTGATAGAATATCTATGAAAGATAAAGGATGCTTTGCAGGCTCCAGCTGTCAATATTTCGAGGCGTACGTTGAAAAATGACATTCTGCTCGAAGCAACAGCATTCCATTTTTACTACTTACCACAACCATTAATAATCCACATAGTGCAACTGATTTATATTTAAATACTAACACAATGCTAAAACTTATTCCTAAGAAACTTCGGGGTCAACTACATGTATTTTTTATCTCAGCATTTGGTCTGGCATCGTAAATTTTAAATATTAAAAAGTAAAAAATTTCAAAGATAAATTATTACTATTGCAAACAACAGAAAAAGCTGTTTTTAAGTGGTGTTCAATCCCTAATGTAGTTAAAAATAACTGACCGATTGGCCTGAAGCAATTGACAAAAAGATTTCTCTACTCCATTTCACTAGGAACTACACTTGCAAAAGAAACACATAACCTTGGTGCAATTAAAGCTTTCAATATCTAAAGCATGTGGATATTGCTAAACAAAAGCATCAATTTAGAAGCACAAAACAAAGATTTTGCAGAAAAATAAATGGCTTTTGCGTACTTCTTTCCCACTCCGAACACTCCAAGCATAAACACTGCCATCACCAGAACCTGCCAAGTAGCGTAAAGCACAAAAATGTCAACTCAGCTTCCGAAGCTAGATATAACTCCTTTCATGCTCTACTTAGGATCCTCGCATAACATTTTAAAGGAGAAGGGTGGGAGTCCACCCACAGATGAAAGAAAATTCAAAGCAAGCTTTTACCAACAAACAAGTGCAAATTGATGAAACATTTAAATCTGTTAACAAAAGTAAGTTAATTTGGCAAAACAAAATGCTTTCCTTCAAGGCTTTTGATCATTTGATGTTTATTGCTCAGGAACATCGGGAAATACAACACATTATTAGTGATACACGATATTGCTTGGACTCCATCAAGAGTATGACCCTAGTCAAAAAATAGTATTATTCTCAAATTTATGTATCCATTTTGGAGAATCATGTCAGAGTATAATCAACCATAGGACAAGCAAGTTGATTACAGGTCTGTCACGTGGATACAGGACTACAATGTAGTTGATACATCATTTAGCATTATCTTAAGAAAATAATGGGCCGTTTTTCTCTTTTTTTCTTTCAATTTATATTTAATTTTGTATCCATCAGAGACGATTGCCAATTATATCTTAGCACTTCATAAAAATGCTGAGGGTGAGTCTCTTTAATCCATTTATAACTCGAAATAACTAGTCTGTAATGGGGAAAACCAAATGTAAAGTATGAGCAAATTACCTTAAAATTTTCTTTTCTTAAGAGAAATTAAATGACGATATTTAAACTATGTAACCTAGACCTCCTCCGCATGCTAGGGAATTTGCAACTCATCTCAAATGACATCATCTCATGATCTCTTAAACTGGCTCCTTTGCAATTTTAATCAATGATATGGCAGCTGTGGCAGGACTTATCCTCCAACATTTGTACTTAATGTGCCCAAAGGTGTACACAACCACCACAAACTCGAATTTCTAAACAGGATCTGAGCAGAAAACCACTTTTTGATTTGTGTATAAGCTCACAAAGATATTCTTACCCCCCATTTGGTACACATTAATGTAAAAATGAGAATGAAAAATATAATCGTTATGGGTTCTATACAAGAGATAAAAATTCAAATTTGATGGTTTGATGTGATGGATAACGGTCATATTTTTCATTTTAATGAAGAAAAAATGAGAAACAAACAGGGTCTTAATTTTGAAATTCAGAAGTAAACTAAATATTTTCCTATGAAAATTTGTAACCACATTGTTACAGGGTATGGGACTACAAAATAAATAAACATGTAGAATATGGAAAAGTACATTTATTTGGACCGTACAGGTGTCCTTAACATTTTCTTTCTTTTTTCCCGTCCACCCTCCCCCCCCTCCCCCCCAAAATTTTTTTTCTCTAGCAACAGTAGTTCTCGCTAACCAACCAGAGAATTTTCATATAACCAGAGTCAGAAAAATGTCAAATGATAATCTGACTTATTTATGAACATGTTTGTCGTTCATCATCCAGCAACTTCATTTGACAGTTGACTAGATCCAATCACATTTACATGGCATCCTTCTAGCCTTATCTTGTTACAAGAGCAGTGTGTTAGATAGATAGACGATGTGCTGAGAACTCGTGAATCCAGAGATAGAGTGAGGACAAAAAAGTAAAGAAAGCGAAGTAAAAATAAGAAATATTTGGTTCCTTCTATATGCAATTGGAAAATTTCATTACCTGATATAGCATACATTCCCTCTGGGCTGAAAGACGCCTCCAAAGTTGAATTGCTTGAAACAGGCTTCACAGTATATGTTGATAACTATGACAGAAGTGAAGAACAAATCAGAAAGGAATATCATTTTCACAAAAGCCACAGTTCACAGATTTTTACATAAAAGCCATAGTTTACAGAATGGAAGGAGAACAACGCACAAGGGTACCACGAAAGGAATCAAGAACATGAATATGCCCATCTGATGTAGTCAAAAGCATAAGTCTTCCATCATTACTGAACTTTACAACATTTGCATCTGACATATCTCCCCCAACAGAAAATATATCAAATGGGCCCTAAAACTTTGACAAATCAGCATGTACTCAAATCACAATACATTGATGACCTAATGGCCACTAGCTGTAGTGCATATTTATATATGATATATAGACCTTTTCGTACTTGCGAGCATCAAACATTCTTATGTATCCTCCAAAAGCAATGGCAAAAACAAGCCCCTGATCATCATAAGCTGCAGCTGGTCTTCCTTGGACACGTAGAAGACCCTACATATAGAGAATACACTGTTAATTAATGTTTTGAAGAAATACAAAATTAAAACCGAGGATAACATTTCCATGGCCTTCACCTGACATTTATCTGCTCTTTGGTCCCAAAGCAAAACAGTCCGATCAAGCGATCCAGATATAAAATATTCTTTCCTAGAGCACAAGCTAAGGGATACAACCCTGGAAGACACATAGTATACCATCAAGTTCAAGTAGTATTTTGAAAAATAATATGGTTATCATGTGGGAATAAATAATTATGATAGTTATGAACTATGCCAGAACAAATATCAAGTTAAGAACAATACCTGTCATGATGACCCTTAAAGTAGCGTAAATATTTGTTGTCATGCAATGAGAGAAGCCGCAATGATTCTGGAATTGTTAAAGAAATATATCACGATCCTACTTTTTTCTTTTGAAATATTATATAGGAATATACATACCATCCCAGCCATTCTTTGAGGAGTAAATAACAGTCAACGGATGAGAAGTGAAGCTAACCAGATCAACCCCATATTTTTTGCTATTTATTGTCTTCAGACATCTGAAAGCAAGTGAGCTCTTTTTAGCACAGACAATAATACAAAAATATGAGAAGAAGTTAAAAAGATATAATTAATCTATTAAAACGAAGTAGAAATACTAGTACTGAAGACAAAATTTAGCCCCAGTTTAACAACCATTATTTAAAAACTCATTTTTCTATATAATCATTTTCAACCATACATTCACACAATAAAATATTTGCACATAAATTCAAAACTTTTTCATACTTTTTAACCACACATTCTCTAAAAATCACTATTCAAAACAGTATTTTTCCAAAATAATGGTTGTCAAACAAGGGCTTAAATGATTTGCACGTGGTTATTTTTTTTTTTTTATCTAAGAGCTTAAGCTTTGAATCGTGATTCAAAGCCCATAATGCTCAAACGAGCCATTTGATTTGTTTAGAAGTACATATGGGCCATAAAATTTCAAGATTGGTGTTTTCAAATGAGTAGCCATATTGCGTGGACATTTTAAGGGCAATTCCACATGAGTTAGATATAACAACACAACCAATATACAAGGGCTTGTGTTACTCCTCTTAAGAATGTTAATATTTTAATATGGAACACTATTATTGATATAAAAGCAGGCAAAAAATCATGTGTTTCAATCTCGCCGCAACCCACTTTAAAAAAATTGTTCACACATAAAGCTTTATTGGAAAGGAAAAATGAATCTCGCCATCACATGAGGAAGCGCGTCGAAGATAAATGATATACATGTGATCTATCTAACCATCTAAACTTTTAAGTCAGGTGATCCAAAAATTAGATATGATCCAACAACGCCAATATGATTGAAGGTCTTTTATCCTAACAAGTATTCATGATTTAAAATAACCCATGACAAGTTGAAAGTAGCATACATTTTTCATTATCAAAACTGCCACGTGATGATTCAGCCACTGTTGGCCATTTCTGACACACACACACACAAAAATCAATTTGATGCAACAACAATATTTAAAAGAAATAGGTAGAGAAGTCCTTTTTGCGTGTGTAATTGAAAGAGAAGCCTTTCATTTTTTGTGTTGAATATTTAACAATAGAATAGCCTTTTCCAAATACAAGTCATTCATTTCTTTTCGTCACAATATTGCTTTAGGAGGAGCAGTAACTCTTTCATATAGGGATAACCTCTACTATCAAATTATATGAGTTACGAGTTTTGAATAAAAGACAGGAAGAGCCTCAATGGATATACTAAGTCACTAAAATTCTTGACCATATCTAGATCTCAGGCACACTTTCTTTGGTTACATAAGAACTTAATAGCTGCTACTTCCCTTAACTTAGAATAGAAAAGAGTAGTGCAGTTTCATGGTTAGGCCAAGGATTTCTGGCCATTGATAAAGTTAAGTTTTGGTTGATTTTTCATTTATGGATGCAATGTGTACAAGTTTTTTTTGCATTTTAGGTGAACACTTTTTAGAGAGGAAAGAAAAAGGAATTGAGTCAATCGGTATCAACTCAGTAAGGATGTTTATGTAAATATTTTAATTTGGAACAAGAAAATATATGCCCATGCAAAGATGATTTTAAGTCGAGGTGCTTTCCAAAACCATAAGCCTCAAAAAATGAAAGATCATATTCAAAACCTCACAAAAACAAATTCCAATGTGTAAAAACTGCAAAAATACAAAATCGAACACTCATGGACCGACATTCTATCATTTATAATTTAACTAACGATTTATAGCTTCAAATTTTGAGAGAGAACTCGAAAGCTAATGGAAAACGTTGAAGCTATCACCTAAACTGAAGAACGTGTCTACAAAGGAATGCACATTGTGTCAGCTTTTACTTTCTAGTTAAGCTCTCATAATCCTAAATTTTCCTTAAGTTAGCCCCCATTTGACAAATCTTCGATCATATTTCATTTTTAACCACATATTTCATGGGATCCATCAACTTATAATCACAAAAAGCTTTTTAAACAGGGGTTGAAAATAGAAAAGATCGGCAACAGAATTTAAGTTAGGTAAAATGTAGATATAAAATAAATTTCAGCTTTATATGAAAGTCAAGAAGAAAATGCTTACGTTGCATTGGCTACGTCATACAGGCGAATTGATTCATCATCACCAGCAGTTACCAAATAATTTGATGACTTATGGAAATCCATTGAACTAATTCTACCATTCTGGAGAAGGAAATCATGTTAGTATATCATAACATCTGATAAATTCACAAGAGTATATCCTCCATGCAGAGCAAACACATCAGTAGCTAGTCCAAAGATTCACATGCTATATCCTCCATGAAGAGCAAACATGGCAGTAGCTTGAACCTTTGGACCAATTGTATATTCCGTTGAGAGACAAGTAACAGACTCCAATTATCATAATAAGTAACATGATTCCCATCAATGATATTACCACTTAAAAAACTAGGAGACGACTCTAAAGTCAATAATTGCAGGAAATTGAAAATTTTTAATAAGACAGTATCAATAAGGTTTTACACACTTCCAGTAGCTCGCATTAAAGAACACTCTAGTCCCATTTATTTCAGCAACAATACGGATCCTTATAGAAAGGCCTCAAGCATATCTTCTGATTTGCATTACAGTCCTTGCAAATAGCAGATTTGATGCTATAAGAATACTATTGTTACTCCGAATAGAAATAGAGACATAAGTCAAAACAAATTCTAATTGTTGATTTAGTAGATAAGAAATTCATAATATACATTTGAAAAGTCAACCAAAGCCCCACTTATGGTCGGAAGTTGAATGATTGCCTATGCAAAGTTTAGGCCGTGCTTTACAGAGATTGGACGCATTCATCGCAATTCATAATTAGTTGTGAAGTAACAAAAATAGATGAGCTAACAGGTATCCACAAATCTGCATCAAGTATGCATGCAATATATGAACAAACTTTCAATGAGTATATAAGATAACTAAAAACATAAAGATATTTCTCTAGGGAATTTGAATAGTTGAAAACTAAATATACTGTTTCATGGAAAAAGGAAACATTTGTTCCAAATTTTTAGTTCACTAGAGATTATAAACTAAAGAATGCTTAATATATATGAACACGAACACTATGTTTAAACAGATAACCTTGTTTTTTACAATGTTGACTTGTATTATCATTGGTCACAACTGTGAGCGTTAAGTTAGAATTTAGAATGCTAAATAGCCATGCAGGCAGTCACCTATTGATTTTTCTAATCTCATCAGTTTTTTACTTCTCCCGGTTGCTCTTATGATTTATGACCCCTTTCCTAATCGTATCAAATTGGAAGCTTTCCCATGCTTAGGGAATCTAAATCCATACCATATACCAAGCTTTCCTGAAAAACAAAACTTACATTATACAAATGCTTTTTTCCATTTCCTATTGAAAGTTACAAAATTAAATTTCTTCAACTACTGGAATTAAGAAACTAGTTCCTAAAATCCAACAATGCATATCCGTTTACCCAAAGCAGAATCTTCCTTACTAAACTGACAAGGGTCCATTATTTGATAATAACAATATAAAACCTTAGTCTCCATAATGTGAAATTAAACAGAAAGTACTGCAAGTCTCAGCCCTCTTGAACAACTGGTTACTCCTATACTAAAAATTAAAAGATCATTAAACAATTTACATTATTTTGCAGAGAACGAGTATAACAAAATAAATGGAAAATCATAGTCAATTTCCCCATATTTCATTTAATATAGTCAATTTCCCCATATTTCATTTAATAGTTTCATTTTCTAATAAAAATAACAATTCAACAAGAAAGAAGTACAAACATAATCGCGAAAGGTCATGCCGACTTCCATGCTCTGAAGGATTTCATCAGTGAGTTCCAACGACACCTTCTCTTCTCTCTCCGGTTGTCCTCCTTTTCGATTTAAAGAAAATACTAATTAGCATACACAAAATTAAGCAGAAACATCATAAAATTACTGAAAACAGACGGAATACGTGTAGGAAACAACTCCAAATTCGATAGCAATCATAGTACCTGCCATTTTTACTTGTTTCTAGGAACTCAATTCAAAGCGCCAACGTTTTCCAATTTCTCCTGACCCAAACAAAAGTGCGCAGGAGTTATATAGTAGCTCTTGAGCAAATTACTTTTTCCTCTATTTTATAGTTTACTTTTATTTAAGATAAAATATTTTAAAAAAATAAAATAAAATAAAATAAAATAGGAAAAATTGCAACAGAGGCCCCAAACCTTTAAAATATTAGCACACTTTCCCCAAATCTTTAATTTATTGCAACCATCACCCCAAGCCTTTCGAAACGTTGCGATGGAGGCCCTTTTTGAAGATTTTCATCCAAATGTCTGTTAGTTGACCAAAAATTTTGACTTTAGCCATATTTTAATATTTTTGAAAGGGTAAAATAATAACTTTTATTTTCTAACATTAAAATAAGTTATAAATTAAATTATAAAAAAAAATTAGAAAATAAAAATCAAT